TTGGGTGCGATCGATATGAACTTGGCCCTTGTACGGTGCGTGATAAGAACAAAGGATTGCGGATCGATACGTGCCGGGTGCCATTAGCGAGTAACAGGTGTTGTTAATCGTTCTCTTTAATGAATGTTCTATGTTTGTAACGCTCGTTGTGGCGGAGAATTTAACCTGTTTTTTGTACACGGTCGTTGTAGGGGAGAATTTAAAACATACATACAACCAAATAAACAAACCAACAAATTAAACAACAAAGAAAAGAAATATATCAAATAAATAAATTAAACAAAGTAATTAAAATCAAATTACGTAACTAGTTAATAATAATTTAACTAATTATAAAATAAAATAAAATTAAAAATAAACAAAATAAAAATAATTAAAAAGTAAACAAATAATCAAATTACGTAACTCGTCAATAAAAATAATTAAAAAGTAAACAAATAATCAAATTACGTAACTCGTTAATAAAAATTACACAATATAAACAAAGTAATTAAATTAAACAACAAGTAAACAAACAAATTAAACAAAATAAAAATACAATCAAAGTAATTAAATTACGTAACTCGATAATAAAAATTAATTAAAAATTTAAAAACTCATTAAAACTAATTAAAAAATACATTAAAATTACGTAACTAGGTCAAAAAATTAATTAAAATTTTAAAAACTCATTAAAACTAATTAAAAAACTCATTAAAATTACGTAACTAGGTCAATGATTACGTCATAATGTTACTAATTACGTCACAAGGTCACCGGTGGTGACCTACTGACCTACTCCCCCACCTGCTCACCCACCCTAGGGTGGGTGAGTATTTTACTATATCTCGTTGTACCAGGCTGCTCACCCACCCTCACCCACCCTCACCCAGGTGGGTGAGTATTTTACTATATCCCATTGTACCAGGCTGCGCCACCTGCTCACCCAACTTCACCCAGATGGGTGAGTATTTTACTATATGTCGGTGTACCTCCTGCTCCCCCAGGGAGTATTTTACTATATGTCGTTGTACCAGGCTGCGGCAGGCTGCGCCTGGTGGGTGAGTATTTTGCTATATGTCATTGTACCAGGCTGGGGGAGTATTTTCCTATATATCCTTTGCTCCTGCTCCTGCTCCTGCTCCTGCTCCTGCTCACCCATACTACCCAAAAGTGACCTAATATACTACTCATATCGTGCGTAGAGAACGGTTATTGCAACACAGACATGGTGACTTGTTGTTACAAAGTTTTTGTTACGTGGACGCTTATTGTAAGAAATACGGTAGTTTTTTGACAACATGGCGTGATCCTCCGAAAAATAAAACATCATTAGCCCCCCCCCCCCCCCCCCCCGCCCCCTCCATTTTCGTCTACTGCCACCGCCCTCCCTACTTTCGCATTAAATCCTTTAAAAACCTAGTGGCTAAGGTCATCAACATTTAAATAAATATGGAATGTGTAATCTGACAATTAATTAATTACTCGTGATTTGATTTAGTAAAGCCTGGAGTCGTATCGAACTACCGAGATAGTGAAAACTTACAGCATTTGTTTTTCTCTTTCATTATTGAAGGTACGTACGTATGTGTGTGTGTGATAAGGGTGCTGCGTGTGTATGGGGTGGGGTGGGGGTTAGATCAGAAGGGTCACAGAGGGAGGGGGGTTAAAAGATCAAGTTTCAGGAAGGTTTAGAGGGTTAGGGTTGGTGGGGGTGGGGGAGGGGGGGGGGGGTGATCCGCGTCAATGTACTCAAAACGTAAACACAAGCAATAAAAAAAAACGTAAGCCCGAGCTCCTTAGTATGACATCTTTGATTATCATCGATGCCAGGCTAGCACGTTTCATCGTTGTTTACATTTGAATCTTCAATTACCGGGGGTATAATAACGCCTGCTACAGGAGCCGACTAATGAAGAGCATTAAGTGAGGTCCATTAAGGTAATTGTGTTTGTCATGTCGTACAAGACACGGCTCCCGCGGGCCAAAGACACGGCTCTTGCGGGCCACTCTCCGCTTTCAGTTGAGTGCCAGATAGGTTTCCTGAATATGAGGATCAAATCAAATTGCTGTACCCCGCCCAGGTAAAGTTACGTGTAGCGGTGATTGTTGTTAGGCCTGGCTATACAGGCAATTCTATGTCTAGTCTTGGCGTTAGCAAGGTGCGTTTTTTAAAAATATATTTGGGCTTCAACAGTCATAGTGATTTGGGTTAGTTTGAGATGTAAGCTACAACAGTTTAGATAGGTGGGTTAGATCTTGTAAATGTAAGTTGGCCTACAACAATTTAGATAGGGGGGTTAGATCTTTGAGATGTAAGTTGGGCAACAGCTCTAGTAAGTTGTGTTAGATGTTTGGCCGATAACAGTTTAGTTACTTGGGTTAGATCTTGCAAATGTAAGTTGGCCTACAACAGTTTACTTAGGTGGGTTAGATATTTAAGATGTAAGTTGGCCTACAACAGTTTACTTAGGTGGGTTAGATATTCAAGATGTAAGTTAGCCTACACCAGTTTACTTAGGTGGGTTAGATATTTAAAATGCAAGTTGGCCTACACCAGTTTACTTAGGTGGGTTAGATATTTAAAATGTAAGTGGGCCTACACCAGTTTAGTTAGACTGGATCTTGCAAATGTACTCAGAGCTACGACAGACCTAGGGACTGGCAGTGAGTCAGATTTCGGCTATAGAGACCCACGCTGTTGTTGCATGAAGAATTAACACTAACTATACGCAGGACTGTCCCCTGTGGTTTATCTTCACAAAAGGTCCGAGTGGCTGGAGCTGTAGACAACATGGACATAAGTGTCTTTTGGTGTACTTGATTATTCTACATGCCACAAGCTTCTGTACATAGTCCCAGTCTCCATTTTTTTTATCATTCTTTAGCCATGTCCATGGGTAAAGCTCGTATACTGAGTGTATACAGAAGTTTTAAGTTATGACAGTACTTTCAATAAACATTATACATTGTTAACATTTCCCAGACCTGTCGCTTCTTACATCAACCATTCAAGAGACAGGGACCACGTATCATGTTTTTGTACCATAGTCAAGTCTCATATTTCCGGTACCGTAGTCCTGTCAGTCTCATATTTCCGGTACCGTAGTCCCGTCAGTCTCATATTTCCGGTACCTTAGTCCTATCAGTCTCATAATTCCGGCACCGTAGTCCTGTCAGTCTCATATTTCCGGTACCGTAGTCCAGTCTCATATATCCGGTACCGTAGTCCTGCCAGTCTCATATTTCCGGTACCGTAGTCCCGTCAGTCTCATATTTCCGGTACCGTAGTCCTATCAGTCTCATAATTCCGGCACCGTAGTCCTGTCAGTCTCATATTTCCGGTACCGTAGTCCAGTCTCATATATCCGGTACCGTAGTCCTGTCAGTCTCATATTTCCGGTACCGTAGTCCTGTCAGTCTCATATTTCCGGTACCGTAGTCCTATCAGTCTCATAATTCCGGCACCGTAGTCCTGTCAGTCTCATATTTCCGGTACCGTAGTCCAGTCTCATATATCCGGTACCGTAGTCCTGTCAGTCTCATATTTCCGGCACCGTAGTCCTGTCAGTCTCATATTTCCGGTACCGTAGTCAAGTCTCATATATCCGGTACCGTAGTCCTGTCAGTCTCATATTTCCGGCACCGTAGTCCTGTCAGTCTCATATTTCCGGTACCGTAGTCAAGTCTCATATATCCGGTACGTAGTCAAGTTTCATATATCCGGTACCGTAGTCCTGTCAGTCTCATATTTCCGGTACCGTAGTCAAGTCTCATATATCCGGTACGTAGTCAAGTTTCATATATCCGGTACCGTAGTCCTGACAGTCTCATATTTCCGGTACCGTAGTCCTGTCAGTCTCATATTTCCGGTACCGTAGTCCAGTCTCATATTTCCGGTACCGTAGTCCTGACAGTCTTATATTTCCGGTACCGTAGTCCCGTCAGTCTCATATTTCCGGTACCGTAGTCCTGTCTCATATTTCCGGTACCGTAGTCCCGTCTCATATTTCCGGTACCGTAGTCCCGTCTCATATTTCCGGTACCGTAGTCCTGTCTCATATTTCCGGTACCGTAATCCCACCAGCAGTCTCGTATTTCTCCCAGCAGCCTCAGATCCGAGGGTACCCAAATGGTACCCGATCAGTGACAGACGAATGTGTACCATTCGGTGACAGACTAATGTGTACAACTTCCCAAACAAAATCTCCGCTTTGCTGGATTTCTTACGATGAATTTTGATTCCTGCCGCTGTTTAAAGACAAAATTAAACCTACCATTATCGTCATCTCATGGATTCAAGTTACAGAATTGTAAACTATTACAGTCACCTAACACGTACTATTGGTTGGAGCCTGCTCCTCAAATGTAAGTGCCCTTTGTTGGTAGTGTAACTTCCACATGCTGCAGGATGATGTTTTACAAAAGTTTACATGTGCAGTGTATCAACAAGATAAACTTGGGATGATCGGTCATGCGCGCTGGATGTGAAAATAACATTTCCTGTCTTTCACCAGTCTCACAGAGGCTAACTCTACTTCATCTTGATTTGGCTATTGATCACACACAAAATAAGACGACATTAAAAAATGGCAACGCTAACCCATAATCAGTGCACACATCACGTGCCCCACCCTAGGGCACCCATCATATGCCCCAGCCTAGGGTACCTATCACGTGCCCCAGCCTAGGGCACCCATCTCTGACACAACCTATGCAGTTCCGCCTCATTACCCCCAAGTTTAATTCCTTTTATCAGCGGCCGCGAAATGACTAGAACAACAAACTCAATTATCCTCGGACGGTACGGGGCGGAAGTCACCGTGAGCTAACCACGTGACTTCACGGTACGACCGTACACTCGGCCCGCCGAGCGGCGACGGGGAAAAGCGACCCGCTGCGTCGCGATTTTTTCCCCTCGTTTTTGGGAGGAGCGGACGGCGATTTGCGGTGTTGTTCTACGGCGAGGCAGAGCGTTGAACAGGGAAAAGACGAACCCCTCCCCCCTATACTTTATAATACACTTCTACTTATTGTTCAGCGGGGGGAGAACGGGCGGTGGGGTAGAGAAGCACTTAAGGGGGCCCCGCCGTAGCAAAGCCTCGAGAGAGAGAGGCGGAAGGAAGGCGAGTTATTAAGGTTGAATGGGACACACGGTAGGAAAACAACACGGGCAGATAACTCGACTGGAGTGGGACTAGACGAGTCGTGGATTAACGGCCGTCGTCAACAGTCGGTCTGTGGACTTTGTTTCAGGATAATTCGATGGATTTGGATTAAACCTTTTCTCTAGGTGGGTGTGTTGTTGATTGGCTTTGACCAGGAGTAAAATGCGAACACTAGTATATAGGATCTAGTATACTATAGTCCTACATTTAGTTTAAAATAAGTTATAGGCTTATAGAACAACATATATATATACTAAATAAAATCATCATATTTATATTTTATAGAGAAGACAGTCTAATGCTAGAACTAGATACTATATTAAAATAGAAAGTAATATATATATATATATATATATATATATATTGTTACGTACCCCCTTCTCTAATCCTTTCGAACTAGTCAGGGGATCGTAAACAAGAAGAACAAAAATAAAAATAAATAAAAGCCAACTTCAGTAATCTCTATTTATTCGCCACAAATCACAACACTTAAAGTTAACCCGCCACCGAAGTACAACAATCAGAAATATACACAAGTAACTACAACAACTAAAGTCCTTAAATCGACTGCCCTACTTGTCCCTAACTGTCTATCTAGCCTAGGTCTAGTACATGTCGTGGCTTTCCACTCGCTCACAGAGACGACCCATGTCTCCTCTAAACCTAGCTATCCGAGACGTCCGTCCGTCTCCGAGTGTGTCCCCCGAGTGTCTGTCGAGTGTGTCCCCCTAGTCTCCGGTCTACCCTCCTAAAGTACTCAAGTCGTCCCTCGCTAGTGTGGGAACCTTGTTAATCGAGCCTGACCCCCAGGTCAGGTCAGGTCAGGACATGACCGTCCATCTCGGCCCTGTGCGATCTGGAAGGTTTTCCCAACCGTAAATCACGAGTTCTTGGCCACGTTAATAGCTCGGACCCCAAGACACCAGGTATGCATCGCCCACAGCGTGGTAACCAATCCGGTGTGGCCGTCACGGCCCAAAGGTTCTCACGGCCTATGCTGGCCAGTGCATTAACATGCCTGAGCATTTCATTTTAATTACCTGGCCCTCCTCGATGGGACCAAACCCAGGTAAAAATCACTTGGGTTCGTAACACCCCCACCCTTCAAGAAATTAATTCGCCACCACATGGTGAATTAATTGAACATCTCTTACTAGACAACCATACCAATCTCACAATTCCTCAAAAGTCCCAGAATAAACCTAAATGGGACTAAATCCATTTAACATAATCATTACTAAAAAGATAAGAAACGTGGATGATTTAGTCACAATAACAAGTTTGACTAAATACCCCAAACACGATGTCATCAAACATAGACATCAAAGTAAATAAAACAGCAAATCTGCAACACATGTGTCACTGTCGCAAATAATGCTAAGATTGAAAACCAACAGTCTTCGTTTTACTGATAGTTACGTCATCAGTCAACAAAACTTGTCAATACAATTAAAAACTGTCACGAATTCATCATCATGTAAAACATCAATAACACATTTTTTTTTTTACAAGACATGTAAAAGGTACATTCTTTAAGCCTGAAAACAGTTCATTTTGATTAGAACACTTGCATCCTGGGAAAACATGAAACAGTCTATCTTGGAAACAGTTCTAATAGGTTTGAAACACAAATTAGTTTTCCGTCTTTCGGGTCATCATGAGTCCGTAAACATAAAAACTTTAGCCGAACTTTATAACGGCGCAGCACAAATTTAGTAACAGAGTTATTGTCCGTCCACACCAATATCGACTCGCACATAAGGCGTGGTTTCACAGGACTGCTTGCACTAATGTAGCCATGTTTTGACACGATGTTAATCCTGAACATCGAGTCACACAAAGAGGGAACGATTACACGCCCCGTCTCCGTGAAAGCAATGGGGTGTGCGCTCGCTTGTACGCACCCTCGGTTGAGAGAAGTAGCGTGACCCGCTGAGGTCACCGTCTCCGGGTTGTTGGTTTTGACCGGGTCGGTCAGAGAACAATAAATCACCTCCGTGATAAGGGGAGGGAAGCCTGAGTTAGGCTCAACTCCTAAACAAAAGGTAACGACTTTGCTCGTCACCGCTGACAAAAGATTCACCGTCTCCTCGATCTCTGGATGTAGAACACCATCCACGTGACCTCCAGGTGAGGTCATGGCCTCCAGGTTGCTGGACTTGGTCGGGGAGAAATCAAATACTGCTGGGATCATGGGAGGACAGCCCGTGTTAGGCTCACCTCCAAGACAATGGGTAACAATTTCGTCTGTTACCGCGGCTGGCAGAAGATTCGTTGACTCGTCTAACTGAAGGTGTAGGTCACCATTCACATGACCTCCGGATAAGGTCATGACGCCATCAAGATGACAAGTAGTAAGGTCTTGATCAGATGCAGTTACTGGTTCAGGTTCAGACGAGGACAGCCTGTTCTCATGGGTATTCACTCTCTCGGTGGTTACCGTGATTTCAGCGGTGGTTGTAACCACTGGTTCTGATATTGACTGCCCCTTTTCATGACTGGTCAACATCAGAGTGGTTGCCGTTATATCATCGGTGGTTGTATCCACTGGGTCAGATATTGACAGCCCCTTTTCATGACTGGCCAATAACAGAGTGGTCGCCGTGATATCATCGGTGGTTGTATCCACTGGGTCAGATATTGACAGCCCCTTTTCATGACTGGTCAACATTAGTGTGGTCGCCGTGATTTTATCTAAACCAATAACTTGCTGACTGCCTTCAGTACTTGTCGGCACACAACTCTCAACTCGTAAGCTATCAGCACGTTTTGACGTTTGTGCTGATTCTGCTAGGTTAGAGTCGACTTCAGGGACTGAGCCAAAGCTAGTGGCAGCCTTAGTCTGAGACTGACAAAACTCACTACCAACTCTATCAGACAACAAACTATCTTCATCTCTATACCGATCCTCGGAAACTACTACACTAGCCTGAGAGAAAACAGAGACAGATTCTGGAAAGTCAAACAACCCACTAAGCTGCGCCTCTTCCCATAGCCTAAGTAAATCCCGTTCCCTCCTGATCTCTAATAGTTTAACTTCATGTCCGAACAGTTTCTCTAAACTTTTAATGTTAATTTCCTTCCAAGATTCTGACATGAATATATCCCTCCTGATCTCTAACAACTTATCCTCTTTTTCTCTCGCGATCTCTAACAACTTAGCTTGAAACTTTCTCTCAATTTCTTCAACCCTAATTCGTCCTATCTCATAATATTCTATCGAGTCTAGACACTCCTCCTCTAATCTACCTGTATTTACTAACTCAACACAAATATGATCTCGTAGAACTCTATCTCTATCCGAGACATCAACCTCTAGTCCTAGCTCCTCAACTAGACGCAACAACTCTACGCGACAAAACCTGTCTAAAACTTCTAGAGTTGGACACTCCATAAAACTCATTACGTCCATGATTCACACTTACGGAACTTATCCAGCTAAATGGTGGCGGTTAACTAACAAAAAATGTGGCTCACAACAAACAACTTTAACTTAAACATTAAAAGTAGGGCTATCACCTTTGACACTTCAAATAGGTAGACACCAGCTATACTGGGCCAACCAAACTAAATATCCAGCTACACTGGACCACAAACGATTTACTCACGTATACTGGGAATTGACCCTCCAGCTATACTGAGCAAACCAAACAAAAATTACGAATTTATTCACGTACCTGGGAATTGACCCTCCAGCTGTACTGAATAAACCCGAACACTCCAGTTCCACTGGACCACACAAAAATATTCGAGTATACTGGGCATTAATCCCTCCAGCTATACTGAATCAACAAAAAAAATTCCAGCTCTACTGGACCAACATAAAAATCAAGCAAAATAAACTCAGTGTCAATACAAAGGTGATAAGCTCGCTACTTACTCAATGTTTGGAAAACTCTCCTGATTCCGTGAACAACTTTACTCTCACTACTCATAAAACTTAAAACTAAAACACAAGCTCGTGAGCCCCCAACTGAAAATGGCATCAAAAGAAACTATTCAACTCGTTGTCTGTCCTATCCCGGACTCTAGCCACCAATTGTTACGTTCCCCCTTCTCTAATCCTTTCGAACTAGTCAGGGGATCGTAAACAAGAAGAACAAAAATAAAAATAAATAAAAGCCAACTTCAGTAATCTCTATTTATTCGCCACAAATCACAACACTTAAAGTTAACCCGCCACCGAAGTACAACAATCAGAAATATACACAAGTAACTACAACAACTAAAGTCCTTAAATCGACTGCCCTACTTGTCCCTAACTGTCTATCTAGCCTAGGTCTAGTACATGTCGTGGCTTTCCACTCGCTCACAGAGACGACCCATGTCTCCTCTAAACCTAGCTATCCGAGACGTCCGTCCGTCTCCGAGTGTGTCCCCCGAGTGTCTGTCGAGTGTGTCCCCCTAGTCTCCGGTCTACCCTCCTAAAGTACTCAAGTCGTCCCTCGCTAGTGTGGGAACCTTGTTAATCGAGCCTGACCCCCAGGTCAGGTCAGGTCAGGACATGACCGTCCATCTCGGCCCTGTGCGATCTGGAAGGTTTTCCCAACCGTAAATCACGAGTTCTTGGCCACGTTAATAGCTCGGACCCCAAGACACCAGGTATGCATCGCCCACAGCGTGGTAACCAATCCGGTGTGGCCGTCACGGCCCAAAGGTTCTCACGGCCTATGCTGGCCAGTGCATTAACATGCCTGAGCATTTCATTTTAATTACCTGGCCCTCCTCGATGGGACCAAACCCAGGTAAAAATCACTTGGGTTCGTAACAATATATATATATATATATATATATATATATATATATATATATATATATATATATATATATACATATATTATAATTTATAATAGTATTATAATCGTTTATATATTATATAACAATTTATATTCACGTAAAGCAGTCTTTAACTGACTTAGTCTACATATTAATTTGCTCTATTGAATATTTATTAAAAATATATAGGCTATATATATATACATACATGTAAATATATATGTTCATATATATGTTCATATATATGTACATATATATGTATAGATATGTACATATATATGTATAGATACGTACATATATATGTACATATTTATTTATATAAATATATGCGTAAATGTACATGTATTAT